TCTTTATTTAATTTAAAAAGTTAATAAAAATTGTTATTGAATTAAATCGTATCTATCAGTAGATACTAACTTCATAAGATTCAGTAAAACGAAATAACATGCATAAAGTGAAGAGAATTAGATAAGACAAATATATTTCATCTAGAATATAGAACAAAAAATACATAATGATACATCATTCCATACATCAAAATGTATTTCATGAAAAACCGTAACTCGGTATCTCGAAGAAAATAATAAACAAATTAATGAATTCAAAGTTTATTCCTTATTGTTACTACAGAATTTGCAAAACGAAGAATATTTTAATTAGAAAATCATGATATATAAAGACGGAAATAAGGGGCGTATATGCCGAGTAGACGTGGCCCTCATTGATAAAAAAAAATCAATTTATTTTTCTCGCCAACATTGCCACATAGAATAATACTATGATTAATTAACCTCTACGTATTCCGTTATAAACGTACTTCAAAGTTTATCAAAATTTATATGAAAAAACATACGATCGTATTATACCTGTCAAAGTAACGTCAATTCGGAAGATTTTAACGGAACTTCCGTTTCATTGTCAGAGTACTGAGTACCAACAGAAAGATTCACCGAAGGAACGTTACAAATATAAAATGAAATTGAAAATACAGTTTGCGAAAACGGAGATGCCTGACGACGTGTCGAAATAATAGAAGAATCGGATATGAAAGCGGGTCACCTACCTGGAGATGTTCTTGAAACCTTATGGGTAGTAACTGCGTCATTTTTCGAATATTTTTCAAAACTTTCCGAGGTTTTCTAGCCGCTGTTACTTTATCGAAATTATATCACGACTGTCTGCCGTTCCTATGTACAACTGTTTTGGCTTATGGTGCGCTCCTCAACCAGAAAACCTCAGTCCAACCATCAGCGCACAAAACCAACTGACGCAAAGTGAATACCGTCACTACTTGCCGCTGACACCCATCATGGCCGCCAACGACCGCCCCTCTGTCTAAAAATAGTTCCTCAAGTACAAAAGTGTTTCGATCGATCCTATATTCTGATATTGCTAAACGTTTGTAAAGTCATCAAAATAGTAACGGTATGCGAGCCGCGTAACGGAACAACGAACATTTACGATTATCGTTATGATCGCGTTAATTTAAATGTTCATCAGCGTAAGAATACATACAACTGGATTTTGAGGTAAATCCGAACACCACCCCTTCCTTTCTTCAATTCTCACCCCCCACTCCCTGCTGTAAATGAAGTCGCAGCGGCGCACAATTGAATACGTGGTATATATTTTCTTCGCACATTCATGCATACATATTTTTTCATGTAGTATAAAATTCGCCTTTAATTGCATTATATACTGCTATTTTTTCCAATAAATTTATCAAATGAAATAATACTATAAAATTTGAAGTTATATTATGTTAAAAGGATTTCATATTTATAATTACACATGTATATACACCACCACTATTATCGCAAAATTTATTCATAAAAAGGTTTTAAAATCCATATGTACTTACAATATAAATACACAATAAATTGCTATCCATGATATGTAAAATAAACTTAATTAAGTTAGTACTAAATTAAAAATAGTATTTATTTCAAAATCATTGTCAGATTTGTATAATACATATGGTTTACAAAATGTAATTATACAGGTATTGTAATTGTTTTAATCAAAGAGACCAAAGCCCATGTCCTCATCTTCTGATTCAGATTCTTCTTTTGCTGGTTTCTTCTCCTCTGTTGATAAAAATTAAATTAATATGTTTCTACTAACTCTTATTATTTTCATATATGTTTATATGACGTAATACATTAGAATATTCATATTATAATATACAGCAACAGAATGAAGTTTACCTTTCTTTTCTTCAGCTGGAGCAGTAGTACCTCCCACTGGTGCTACAGCCACAGTAGCAGCTGCAGCACCACCAATTGGCATAGATAATAATCTTGTACGTCCTATAACAATTAAACATTACTTTCACAAAATACAAAGTAATACATTGTAAAATATTTTTTATTTAAATTGATAAAACAAAAATTATTAACAATTTTAA